CGGGCACGGACTCCTCTCTCCTTCCATGAGGAGCTGTAGGTGAAACGAGAACTCTGGCAACACTGAACCATCCATTTTTTTTTTCCCCTTCACGTTCTTCACATTCAAGTATTTTGACGTCAGACCAAAAGGCACTGCTGGTTTTCGAAGGTCTGACTTAATTACGTGTACGTTAAAGGAACAGCAGAGATCGCAGCCTTGCTTCTCACAACCCCTGACAGCTTGACACAAAGCAGATGCTCTGCCACCACCATCGCCTGCAGAAGGGCCAGCAAAATCCGCTCTCCTCCTTGGTGCATCCCTAAAAACGGTGCTAAATGCAGCTTGATGGGAATGCTGCACCTGAAGGGCTTTCCCTGAGCTCCCCGAGATTGTGTCATCCAGCTGGCGCGTCCGACGTGAACGCAGTAAAACCAGCCCACGTGCCCGACTGCAAACGGCTCGCAGCACTCGTTCTTCACCAAGCCCTTTTCTCCATTTTGTCCAGCAAAGGATTTTCCCCCAGCTATTTTCTAAACGATGGCATGTGTTTAATTCACCTCCTCAGCTGAGTTCCTTACCCAGGAATGTAGTTATAAAATCTTTGGGGTTTTGTTTAACGCCTTAGAGCAGAAAAAAATCCCATGCCCTCCAGCAGCAGAGAATTCAGACCAACAGCCAGAGAGTTTTTAGAAAGTGGTTAATCAGAACTACAGGGCACACAAAAATAATCTCGAGCAACCTTCAGGCCTGTATTGAACTTGCAGAGATGAAGGCACAAACTGCATCTGCCTACGAACAATAATATTATTTACTTCCAGATGCTGCACGAAGCTTCCATCTGTGCCCTGCTACGCAGCGGGGAAACCGAGACCCGGCATCCACCTGCCGCAGGTGGTCCCAGACAGAAACCAGCGCTGGGTGACAGGGACGGGGGTTTCACGGGGCGCACTACACCGATTTCCCAACCACCAACCACAGGAAAGACCCAAACCACACCGCCCAGGCCAGGCACCGGCCGCTGATGCCCCACCACAGCCAGGTTTCTGCAAACCCTCGGCAGCCAGCATCGCACCACGCACCAGATGTTCACCCTGGCCAACCCAAGAGCTTTAGTTTAGATCATTACAGAAGATGCTTCAAGGACCTTGTGAACACCTAGGACCAAAAGGTCAGAAGATTTGGTTGGAAACACCTGAGATTACAGAAAATTCACAACGATATCTTAAGATTTCTTTAACAGACATCTGCAGATCCATGCAAAGCATCTGGCAGCTTCTGATGGAGCTTTCCTGCAATAATAAACTCAAAAGCATTTTCAAGACTACAGAAAGTGCATAAAAATAATGTTCTCACTCCTTTCCCCTCACAAAGGCTCTGGCTCTGTCACCACCAGCAGGCCAGCCATGCCCTGGGCTGCATCCCCAGCAGCGTGGGCACAGGGTGAGGGAGGGGATTCTGCCCCTCTGCCCCGCTCTGCTGAGACCCCCCAGGAGTCCTGCGTCCAGCTCTGGAGCCCTCAGCACAGGACAGAGCTGGAGCTGTGGGAGTGGGGCCAGAGGAGGCCCCAGCAATGACCCGAGGGCTGGAACCCCTCTGCTGGGAGGAAAGGCTGGGAGAGCTGGGGCTGCTCAGCCTGGGGAGGAGAAGGCTGCGGGGAGACCTTAGAGCAGCTGCCAGTGCCTGGAG